TAGTGATACTGCCTCGGAAACCCAAGGAGGGGTCGCTGTGAGTCGGGGCCGACTCGATGGCAAATAACAACAACAACAACAACAATCATGGATGAGGCATTGACTGGTTGTCATTCCAAAAGACTTGTGACTCCATCCCGTTTCCTTTGAGTTTCAAGGATTTATAATCTGAGATTACAAAATACTAGCAAAACACTCGAGTTTATTGTTACTTTCAGTCTTAGACCAAGGGGTGCAGATGAAAGTGCCTTGTTTTGTTACTATTTTGACAAATGACAACTCTTTTTCCAAGGGGCTGTGCCATGCTAAGGACTCTGAAAACTCCTGTTGTGTTTTCTTTGAAAGGAACTGGAGAGAAACTTTGTTTTCATTCTTTGGGTGTCTGGGCAGTCACAGATCAGTTACTTAATCAGGAAAGGCCTGGTCCTTATCTCTCCAACCGTTTCTTGTAAATTTGATCCTGAAGTTTCTATATAATGAGATCACATATGCAAGCTTGAGAAAAAAATGAAAATGAGGCTGGGTCTTGGGAGACCCCCACACGTCCCTGCCTGGCTGGGGCCTCCCAGGGCCGTCCAGCGGCCCGATGTCACTTCCTGCAGCTCAAGAGCTTGTCCGTTTGAAAATCCAACGTGGGCTTGGGTTGGGTCCCAGGAGGCTTGGTTGACCTGTTTCAGGGAAGCGGGCGCGTGCCTTGCATATTCGGCACCACAGCCTTTCATCCTCCCAACTCTTCGATTCTTGGACCTCGGTCCAACTCCTTACGTGCCCTGTGCCATGCAGACGTGGGCAGAGGGCGCCTGAAGGGGCGCTGTGATGGACAGGGCCACCATTCCCTCCACGGCCTCTCCTGCTCCCCGGTCCTGGGTGATGAAGCCCATCGGGCTTGGACCCTGCTGGCCAGCCGAGCTCCCTGACTTTCCTGGCTGACTGGCCCCCAGCTGGCCTGCCTTGGCCGGCACGGCCTCTGTCTCTCCGTCGCCCACCCTAAGGCATTGGACTGGCTCCGGTGGTTCCAGCCCGGTCCAGGGTGGGCCTCCGACATCCGTCCGAGCCACGCAGGGTGTTGACGGAGCTCCTTCCTGCTCCAGTACATGGGCTGCTGCCGGGCCCAGGCTGGGGGGCCTTGTGCGGCGCAGCGCGGGCGGGGCGGGGCGGGAGGGCGCCAGCAGCCGTCGCGGCTGCGCACCGACTTCACTTACTCTCATAATCGCAGTCTCTTTGCAAATCTTTTCCATTCTGAATTCAGATGAGGCGGCCGCCCCGGTGCTGGAGACGCAGCCCCAAGGCGATGAGGAAGGTGAGGCCCGGGGTGCTGGGGGGCGGGGATCATGGCTTGAGCGGCGGCTTTGGAAGCAACGCTTGTTGAAAGCAACAGGCCTGCCACTTGCAGGCGGTCAAAGCTTAGGTCGTTTTATTTTCTTAGTGTTTGTTTAATCAAGAGGCAAAGGGACACAGTATAAGCGGCTCCTAACTTCTGCTTATGAGTGGAGATTTTACAGTTTGCATAATATAAAATATACACTTCAAAGGGTGCAGGGACTATGGTGTTTTTCCGTTCACATTTCACATCTTTGTAAGTTCCGCGACAAGGTTGGATTTCCTGCTGTTACCCAGGCCTAAGCCGGGTTCCGTGGTTCCGAGAAGGTCCGCCCGGCCCAACCCTGTGGAGCAGCCTGGCTCCGACTCCTGGGGTTGCCCTGAGGCTTCCTCATCTCCACGGCAACCGTTGATTTTTCTTTTTTGCTGTTTCCAGTGTCTGTGTTCTTAGGTACAAAATACTGACCCCTACTGTAAACTTTAAATTTACTTGTTAAACAGTATTACCCAAAGGGATGTGTTTCCAAATCGTAGGCAAAGTTACACTTTGGTGCTGGGCGAGATCCCGTGAGATGGGCTTCCGTGGCTGTGCACCTGACGTGCACATACATGCATTGGGGCTTCTTCCCTCAGAAACCAATGGCTTTTTCTCTTTTTTTAAAGTGGGACCTGTCTGGATTCGAATAGCCTTTAACTACACTTTTGGATAAAAAAATAAACAAAAAAGGAAAGCATGTTAAAAGGAACATTAAAAAATGTTCTTGTTTTCTCTCACAAGCATAGTCACTGCATTTCTTTAAATCACTTCATTTCTTTACATAGATGATGTGTCTGCATGTTATGTTGACTTTCTTCCAACTGCCTGCTGAAAATCTCTGAGAGACTTTGTGTTTTCGTGATGAGTGAAAATCACTTTCATTTTGCTTTATTAGACATCGCATCACGTTACCCCACCCTTTGGACTGAGCAAGTGAAAAGTCGTCAGAACAAAACCAACAAGAATTCAGGTAAAGCGGGGCAAACCGTACTCTGTGAGAGCAGGTTTCATGGGTCTGGGAGAGGACTTTATCTGCGTGGAGCTCCATGCGGAGTGCATATTTGTCCTTGGTTACCACAAGTCATCTGAGAGTAATTTCTGTGACTTGACCACCAAGAACTATTGCCAGTGTTGACCTTTGTAGTCAAATTTTCTAAATTCTTTACAATATTGCTGTCCATAGTCCAGGAAAACTGAGTTTTCAAGTGTGTGAATGGAAATGTTTGCTGGGAAATGTTTGAATTTTGACAGAATTTCTGCAATGGCAACCACATGGCTGGGTGACTTAAAAACGCACCATATCGTGTCATTGTGCATGCTCAAAGAGTGTGCGTCTGCGTGCCCACCGCTGAAAACGGCCTGTTTTCACTCGGGGCAGACGATCAAGGCACGGCAGGAAGGTTGGCGTTCCGGGTTCAGATCCAGACGGCCTGCGTGTCCTGTAGTTGGCCCTCAGGTGAAGTCCCAGGCATCTACTGAGGCTTCTAAGCACCAAGACTTTGTTGTATCTGTGGTTATGTGTTTTTCTCCAAAGTATATTTATAGCAGCTATTTACTTCAAAACAAAACAAAAAACAGCTTTATTAAAATGCAGGATATTAAGGTAGGTGGGTTTCCTTTTCAACTCGCCTGTCTCATACACAGCCTGTTGAGTTGGCATTAAGGCTTTTAAGATTGTGATTTGAGTGGAAGTTTACAGAGCCAGTGGGAGTTCTATTCAGCAGTTCCTGGGCGTTTTGTTTCATGGCAGTCCCCACCACGTAACAGTCCTCTTCTCACTCCCAGTGCTGCCCAGGTCTTCCCCAGCCATTTTGACCACAGTCCCCCAGCTTCCTGAAGGCTCCTGACCCACCCTGGAGGCGGAGCTGTTTGCTGATTGGCAGCTGCCCAGGGCCAGGTGATGACGTGTTGAATGAGCGCCAGTGCGACTTCTGCATTTCTAATAGGGGTCTCAGGTTGGTCAGCTTCTGCCGGGGACGCCACCTGCAGTGCACGTTGGACCGGTGATCCCGTTGACGTCGTGTGGACCCCGCGGTAGTCTGGAGTGGGTGACCGGAGCCACGAGGCTCACACTGCTCCCTCACTTTCCCCACTGACAGGCCCAGAGCTCGTCGTGGGCAGCGGGAGCGTCCAGGCGCGTGGGGAGGTGCCCGAGTGGGAGACAAGAGCTTGACGCAGGGCCGTCCCTCCATTGACGCGGCTTATGCGACTGCACGCTGGAAGCCACCTCCAGGGAGGGGTGGTGAACGGCCTTGCTCTCAAGGTTGGGCGGGCGGACGGGCAGGTAGGTTCCGGACGGCGCGGGAAGCGCGTTAAATGGCGGTTCTGCAGGTCATTGGGAAGGCGGGGACTTTCTCAAGGATCCTGGCGCCTGGTGAGACCTCGCGGTTCCTGCTCCTGGAGAGGGTGACGTCCTGGTTACTTCACCCACCTTCCACAGTGTTGTGAAGATTGAAGAGGTGCGGGTCTACCACTCTGATAAAGCCTAACTTGCAGGCATGGCCACGGAATGTGTCGGTGCTGACAAAAAGGTAAAGCAGTGTGGCTTTCTGAGTGGGGCACAGATGGTGGCGCCACAGGAGCCCGGATTTAAGGAGCTCTGCTGGCAGAGTGGTTAAGCATTCAACTGCTAACCACAAGGTCAGCGGTTTGAACCCCCCGGTCGCTCTGTGGGAGAAAGATGAGGCAGTCTGCTTCCCTAAAGACTGACCCCTGCAAAACCCTAAGGGGCAGTTTCACTCTGTCCTAGTTCACTCTGTTCGCTAGTCTATTTGCAGCACTTAGTACAAAGCCTAGAATGTAGTAAGCACTTGGTAAATATTTGCTGAATGAATGAAGCGATGATGAGAATACACAGAACACACGTGAGAAGGGGCTTGGTAGGGTTTGAAGGCAGTTGGAGTAGTCGCTCTGAAGGGCCCTGGCATCCACCGCTTTCACCAGCGTTGATACTTTTCTTTTCAAAGCAGAGTCTGTTTACCGTCTATATGTCAGGTGTTTCTGTTCAGGAGAATGTCAGGAGAGGTGGTGTTTACGGTGTTCTTACCGTGGTCCCCGGAAATAGGAGCAGCTCAGTAACAGAAGGTTGCTTGACGTGAGCATCAACAGACAAAGGACTAACCACTCTGTGTGCCAAGGCATGGAATCTAAACCTCTGCATGGATGAGAGAAGAGCTGGTGATAATGTGCCATATTCATGACAAGCAGGTAACTGCAAGATTTGTAACGGATGAACTTTCTGTGGAAGAACGTTGGGATTGCCACCTGATTTCCATAATTCCATTAGATAGCTTGGCTGAATGACTTAAGACAAAGGTTTCTTGTCCATGTAGATGAAGTTTAGCTGCTAGGTCATTGAAAAGGGCCGTGGTGAGTTTTTTTCTGTTGCCCCAGTGCTGATGAAAGTGCAGAGCCCAGCTTAGATAGGATAAGCCTAATGCAGTATTCCTGCATGACTTCTGGCCCATGATGGTCCTCAGTCACTATGGCCATTCCTGTGTCTGAGCTGTTTGTGTTAAGCTTATCACTGTTGAGAACTGTCACTTGGTCTTTCATGGGTCCTGTTGGCCTGAGATGAAGCAGAAAAAACCCAGAGGTTTGACCATTAGATACATGAGTAGCAATGGTGGGGAAATTTAAAAGTAATTTATATAATTAACAAAAAAATACTTTCATAAATTATCATTATGGGCAAGAGATCCCTATTGTACAGATACCAGTCTGCCACCTTCCCTCATGCGCTCTGGACACTGAGTTACTTTAGTTCTGTCTTGCCCCACCATACTTGAAAAAGTTCCTGTTGTACAGATACCAGTCTGTCACCTTCCCTCATGCTCTCTGGACGCTGAGTTATTTTAGTTCTGTCTTGCCGCCATATTCGAAAAGTTATTTTCTATTTATTTGTTTCAGTATCTCATAGTTCAGCTTGTGGGGAGTTAATGGGAAGATTGTGTGTTTCCAATTGAGTGGTGGGTCTTGGAAATTCCTCCTAGGAGAAGCAGTATGGCAATACTGAAACTTGAAATGAGCAGTAATACATGTACAAAGAACTGAATAATGTCACTAGAAACACACATTTGTTCCAAGCACATTTCTCAGTAGGAAACTATTTTAGGTTTTGACAGTTAAGGTCCATGTGGACTTGGGGAACAGGGACGTTTTTGTATCTCACCCTTCACTTGCTGTTCACACATTTTCAGGCCTCTTAGTGACCCGCCAATTACAATTAACCAATAAAAACAGAGCATGATGTTCATTATTTACTGAGGCTGAAAATAATGTTTCAGGAAATTCAGTTGACAGAAGTTACTGTACATGATAATTGGATTTAAATTAGCCTCAATGCATAGAACAGAGAGAGGATATTGAGTTGATTGACACACATGGAGTGTGAAATCACTGGATCACATTGATGTTTAACAAGCCAGTTGTCCAGTGCGTGTTCTTTCTGAGGGTCTGAAGACCATCAGGACCAATTGGTGTTTTTAGACAGTAAAAAATACTGTGCACTTGAACATATCTTAACAATGAAGAGGCAGACAGTGTTAGGATTATCAGACCCAAGATGAGCATTCTAGTCATTGAGATTTCAGACATCAGCAGAGTCGCATTTGTAAAAAGACACTTATGGTCATCTTTGGTGGAAGTAGACACATTTATTTAGTAACACATAAATAGTTTGTGATTCTGTTAGTCTGGATTTTAAAAATTTACCTTACTGGTTAGTCGCTCTTCATGCCATTGTGTAGAGAATGCCAAACTTGGGATAGATTTTTTTTTACATTAATTTTTTAAAAATCAGATAGCAATATTTTTTCCCAGGAATTTGTACTAAAACGATTGCATAAGGAGCCTACTATGTGGATGTGTCAATATTGTTTGGAGCATGTTAGCAGCATGCCTTTTTTTTTTTTAAATCGTTTTCTGGGAAAGGAAAATCAAGTATTCCTCAGGTGGAAATTGATACGTAGTAGGTGCTCAGTCCACCACTCATCTGTGTGTCGGGCCAAAGTGACTTGTGTGTTGCTGTGAGGCTGGAGGTTATGCCACTGGTATTTCAAATCCCAGCAGGGTCAACTATGGTGGACAGGTTTCAGTGGAGCTTCCAGACTAAGACAGATTAGAAAGAAGGATATGATAGTCTACTTCTCCAAGAATTGGCCAGTGAAAACCTTATGAAGAGCAGTGAAACACTGATATCTTATTGGAAAACTTCATGAAGAGCCCTGAAACATTGTCTGATATACTACCGGCAGATGAGCCCCTTGGGTCAAAAGGCACTCAAAATATGACTGGGGAGGAGCTGCCTCATCAAAGTAGAGTTGGCCTTAATGATATGGAGGGAATACAGTTTTCGGGACCTTGATTTGCTGATGGGGCATGACTCAAAATGAGAAGAAACAGCTGCAAACATCCATTAATAATTGGAACATAGAATGTAGGAAGTATGAATCTAGAAAAACTGGAAGTTGTCAAAAATTAAGTGGAATGCATAAAGATATCCTAGGCATTAATGAGCTGAAATGGACTGGTTTTGGCTATTTTTGAATCAGATTACCATATGATCTGCTGTGCTGGGAATGACAGATTGAAGAGGAATGGCATGGCATTCATCATCACAAAGGCTGTTTCAAGATCTCTCCTGAAGTACAGTGCTGTCAGTGATAGGATAATATCCATACACCTTCAAGGAAGACCAGTTAATACTACTGTTATTCAAATTTACACACCAACCCTAAAGCCAAAGACAAGGAAATTGGACATTTTTACCAACTTCTGCAGTCTGAAACTGACCGAACATGGAATCAAGGTGTGTTGATTAGCACTGGTGACTGGAATGCAAAAGTTGGAAATGAAGAGTCACCAGTAGTTGGGAAACATGGCCTTGGTGATAGAAATGCTGGAGATCACGATAGAATTCTGCAAGACCAACAACTCATTCATTGCAAATACTTTTTTTCAACACCATAA